CAGGAATGTGACCTACACTTAGTTCTACTGCAGACCATGCTTGTTAGCATGATCACTGGACTGACTTACAAAAGAGCACATGGCAGGTTCTACCAGCCTTGTTACTTGCTTTGGGCTAGGGCTGTTGTTACAGTGGCTGTGATGCAGGTGAATACAGCCTCTTCCTGCACAAGTTCTTCTAAAAGTCAAAGTGAACATCTGACAGACATCAGGGCTCTGGACTCTAGGGAGGAATTGTCTGGCATACCTGGATGGTGCCATCCACTGCAATGATCTCCTCTGTATTCACGCCAAAGAAACAGGGTGCGGGGATCGTGTCATCACTGACTCTCTCTACAAAGTAGGTGGTGTAGCCAAAGAAAGGCAATTTCATCATGTGCTCTGTAAGAAACAAACAGTGGCTTTCAGGCAGCAGCTTCCAGCCAGCAATCTACTGCACCAAACTAAGGTGGTCAAAATCTGCAAGTGTTCCCAAGCTTTTCTACGTTAAAAAGTAAGATTGACAACATTTCCCTCCCCCCACAGGCTGCTGATACTCAATTCTCAGCAGCCTGAATGGATGTCTTGTTCTTTTCCAACCAGAAAACAGATGTGCAGGCAGAATATCAATTAAAACACAACTTGCACAGAGCTCTGAAAACCTACTGCAGACTTCTACAAAAGAGGTAGAACTTCTACCATGATCACCATGCTTGGGAACAAGTGCAATCTGCAGGGGGAGGCTGTCAGGGAGTTCTATGTCATGTCCCATTCCAGGCTCCAAGGATCCTCTCCAACCTCATGAATTGTCCCAATAGTGCATTCAGAGCAGCTTCCATCGTGCTCAGGATAGATGACTCGAGCGGATCTGGATGTCTTCTTACCCATGAACTGGATTTTTGCATCCACTCGCTGGAGGGGCTGCCTGGTTCTCAGCAGCATGCCAACATGCTTCTCCAGAGCCTGGAGTTTGATAGAGGACTGCAGGGTCTTCGGCATGTACTCCTTCAGCTCTTCCCTGTGCCAACAAGCAGATACTAATTCACCCCCTGTCCAGCTAAAATCGAAAGATCAGTCAGGGGGGTTAAGAGGAAGGAGGGGATGTGGCAACAATTTCCAATTGCTTGGCTGGGTGGAGGGTGGAGGGAGAGGAGAAGAGCACAACAGGTTGTATCTGAATTGGGTAACGTGGAAGGAAAGATCAGAGACAGCGAGACAACCGTTTTCCACAGAGAAGGCAGCTGTGCACCACTGACTAGTGCACTGAGAGAAATCCCTCCTTTCTGGAGACAACAGGAGCTCTTCAAGCAAGGACTGTAGCATGGAAGTAAAGTCACAGAGTGTTTCCTAGGCAGTCTCAGCCAAAGACCACCTTGCTCTAACCCTGTCTTGCTCCTGTGCATCCAAAGCACTACACAGAGCAGAGTTCCCCATGTCCAGCAGTGTTATGTCATTACCTGCTGCTGGTGGTGCTGTAAGGGGATCTGATGGAGACATTACCTCAACTCTGAGTCAAAGTGCATAAGGATACAGGAAGGAAGGAGTGTGAAAATACAGATTGGGTCTGTAGGACAGAAGCTTTCCAGTACCTAGGGGCATTTTCATTCCCATCAGGCATGTCACTACAGATTTCAGGTGCCGAGGGTTGAAAACTCTGGCACTTGTGAGAAAGAACAAAGGAGCATTCATCCCAACTATAAGCTCATGCAATTCTTCCTTCTTGGTATTACAAACACATGGCAGTCAAAAGAAATGCCCGTGGCACCCTCATGGCCCTCAACTCAGGAGGAGTCACAAGAGGAAATGTGGATCAGAGATGGTCAGCATTAAGAGAGTGAAGAAGAGGTAAACTTTCTTGATTATGGGCAGGAGTCCGTCACTAAGTGACGTTAATTAGTAGCTTATGTTCTCCAGCACTATCCATTCCTTAATTATCCAGAGAGTACTTTCAGGCACCTACCCCTAGCCCCTGTAGTGCCAACAGCCGTTAGAGAGAGAGACGCACCCCAAGACAGACATACCTGGAGAGGGCAGCGTTGTGCTGCTTTGTTTTGGCCCAGTGCTGGAGCATTGCCAAAATGCCCACCTGCATCTCCATTTCTTTACTATGTCTCAACAGTATCCTCCCATTCAGGTAATCCCACAGCATCTGAGAGACAGCACAGCAAAGAGGCCTCTTAAACCTTCCAGGAGGTACAGGCAAGCCTGGGCAGCGCCAGGCTGCAGAGACCCTCATCTTGCCTTGCTGATAACACATCCAGCTCAGGCTGGTAACACGAAAGCAAAGGCTTCCTGGGCTCAGGAAGAGCATGCACAAACCATGTCTGGAACAGTACAGCTCATAGGCTAGGACTAGAGGCAGACTCTCTTCCTTGCATCCATAGCTTCAGTCACTAGTCATTCCCACAAACAGCATACAAAGCCGATCAGCCAAAGCCCTCCCGCTTCTTCAGCCCCCTTGGGACACTCCCACTGGCCTGTGCGCTAACTGCCCCTGCTAGGGAGGTTCCCGGTGAGCACACTGGCCTTGTGGCTTACCTGTCCATAATGGACATCAGTATAAATTTTGTTCTCAAAGTGCAAAGGTGTCCTCCAGATGAGCCTGCGTAAAGTCACAGTGACCAACTTGTCCTCCAGCAGGTAATCATGAAGATACTCCTCCGATCTTATCGGCCTCACCATTTTATCTACATGTTTATGCAGAGAGAGGGTCATCACTCTTGGTGCTGAGACAGTGGGCTGAGCTCCACAGCCTGGGACAGGAGCCTTCCTGCAGACCTCTATTCCACCCCGCCGTTGTGACTCCAAAACCATTCCAAAGGGACACGGACCCACACAGTCACACACACCTCTTTCAGAAACAGGCAACACATCCCTTCAGAAGGCACCATCCTTAACCCTAGTACAGAAGGAAAATGCTGAAGAGGAACCTCCCCAGAGGCAGCAAGGGTGGGGGAACTACTTTAAACATTACCCATGGTACGCCCTGTTGGAGAAACTGCTTTAAGAAAGAAGCTAGAAGCTAGTCTCTACTTGCCAAGATTATTGCTGTCGCTTCTGATGGCAAAAAGAACAAATTCCTGTATCTCTTCCTGTTCACTTGCCCCCATCTGCTCGCAGATCTCCTGCAAGAGCTCCTTGGCCACCTGAAGCAAGAAAAGAAGCAAATAAATACCATGGGCAGGCAAGCCCAAAGCAGCCCCAGAGCGGTTAGCCATACTGGGCCTGCTGAAGTATGGCTCTGGCCATTGCGCAAAGCAGTAAGCTGGGTGAGGCATCCCAGCGTTGTGCAGGCTCGGCAGAGATACGCTGCTACAGGGATTCCTAGGAAGTGAGGGGAAACTGTCACAGCACTATGGGAAGCACAGGCCAAGCCTAAGGTTTCGACAGATCAGGGAGTTCCATGGTGTGGCTGAGAGACCAGATCAATGAAGAAATTCAAAGTAGAAAACTCACAGTGAATGTCTTGATTCTGGTGAGATATTCCATGCCTCCAGGCATCAGTATCGTTAGCCGGCGGGCACTGCGCCCCTTCTGCAAAGGACAGTCCTTAGGCAGCAAGACATGCAGGGTCCTATCAGCCCCACAATTGTTTCTCCCTCCTCAGCTCTGCCTTCCACTGCTTGCCCATAGTACCTGTCTCTTCCCTGCCTATACCCCTGACTACTCCATGGCGTTGCACTTCCCAGTCCCCTTACAGACACATGCTTCATTTCCTCCCTTGGAACACTAAACACGGCACATAGCACCTCCTGGCAAGCCTCTGCCCTCCCTCGCTTCCCAGCATCCCCACTTCTCTGCTCCTCCGTACCAGCAATGCCCCTATCTCCACAGGAAAAGGAAGGTGACGACGGCCCCCATACATGAAATTTTTCCGCAGGTTGCTCTGACAGATCTTGGCTATATCTGCAGGAAAAGGAAAGAGCTTCATGTGCTGAGCCAAACAGAGGACTAAAGCATTGTCTCCTATGGTGTTGGGTCATCCTGGCTGGGTTGAATTTCACCCAGGGCCGCTGCTAGGAGAGCAAAGAGACTTGACCTCATCTCGCACTCTGCCAGGACACATCCAAATCATGAGGGGCCACCCCCAGACAGCGTCCAGGGCAGTAAGAGTACAGAGGAATGACAGAATGGGAGAACTAGAACCCTCATCTCTAGCAGGATTCCAACCCAAATACCTCACAGCTGATGGCTGGAAGACCACAGCCTGCCTTTCCCCCAAGGGCTACCTATTAAACTGGGCCTAAGCCACAGGACTAAACTAAGCCTCAAAAACCCAATTCCACCTTGCCTGGCTGAAGATGCAATGGGAAATTACCCCTGCAAATAGCAAGACTAGTGATAAAAAGCAGACTCTTGCCTGCAGGCTTGACTCCCTCAGTACCCCACTCGTTTCTCCTGCCTAACAGGATAAGGGAGATTTTCCCATTGGACCATGTCCCTGCCTAGGTCTTGTTCTTCTTTCCTTGACCACTGGACCTTAGTAACAAGGGAGCAGACGTTTATTTTACAGGACACAGAAACAGTCATACCATGGTGGGTGCTAGATGGATCACTGCTGGCTAGCTGCAGAAACTTGGTGGCATAGGGCATCAGGATGTTAGAAGGGAGGAAGTACCCTGTTAGCAGGTTTAGGAGCAACCAACCACGCAGCACGCTCTCCCTGCAGAACAGAAGGAAGTGTGGGCACCTTGGAACAAGAAAATTCCTGCTCAAAGTGAGCCTCTGCCCTTCTGAACATCTATGGCAGGTGGCAGAAAATGAGGTGGTGCCCCTCGGTCAGAGGTTTCTTATGCCAAGGAAGGGATTGATTCAGTTATTCTAGCAGCAAACAAAGAAAAGGAACAGTCAAGGCAACTCTGATGCCACTGCTGCCATATCGCAGGGCAGCATGGGGTCAAACCAGTCCCTAACTTGTATCAACTCCCCACAGCTGCGATGGGGAAATCAGCACCACTACTGGGAGCTATCAGGAATGTTTACCAGTGCCCAGATATATCAGCAGCCAGAGACACAAGGACAAACATCCATTGAAGTGCAAACGCCAAACTCAGTGACTGGCTAAATTTCCTGAGTGCTCAGCAAAAGCCCCAGCATCTGAGCAGCTGGGAGAGCACGTCATTCGGGGGCAGCCTCTCCCCTGGCCCTGGTGTCCCTGCAGCGAGGCAGACAGTTCCCCTGCAGCTGTGCACATACAGGAGCTGACAGTGCTGGTACTCACTGGTTAGGGTTGCAGGTGACCTGTTTGATGACCTGGCAGTAGACCTCATCATGCAAACTCTCCTTCTCCTTGCACAGCTGCATTCAGAGAGGAGAAGACAGCATCAGAGAGGGGACGAGAGCATCAGAGAGGCCCCCAAGTCATCTCTGTGCCCTTCCTCGCCCAGCTCCAGAGCTCTGCCAATTTGGCTTAAAGCTTGGGCTTTGCAGCCTCTGGTCTCTAGTGCTATCTAGGCCCAAAGGAAAGGCAGGTTGTGTTCTCATCCAGACAGTGATATCCAGGGAAACCATTTACATGCAACCCCTTCCCTCCATGTTTTTTAATCAGCCTGTTTCAGCTCCCTTTCTCATGTAGGAGGTTGCATTATGGCTCTCCCTGCTCTCTCCCTTCCCAGCAAGGTCTTGGCCTGTCATTCCCACAGGTGCTTCAGAGCCTTATCCAGGGGAAGGTCACAAACCTGAAGGATTTCATAGATGCATTCAACCTCATCCTGCTTCTTGGGTTTTGATTGATCTCCCATGAATTGCATCAGAGCTGCAAAGCAAAGGCTAGCATTTAGGTCTAAGCAGAGGTGATCCTGCCATGGGGCAGGCAGGAGGCTAGAAAATGTCCTGAAAGCTTTTCTGCTCCACAGGCTATTAGGGCGCTTGCATTAGACACATGTAGTCGTCAGGGCATTAGCCCAGGCAGTGTGTGTTCATAGAATCACAGAATGGTTTCGGTTGGAAGGGACCTTAAAGACCATCTAGTTCCAACCCCCTGCCATGGGCAGGGACTCCTTCCACTAGACCAGGTTGCTCCAAGCCCCATCCAACCTGGACCAACACTGCCAGGGAGGGGGCAGCCACAGCTGCTCTGGGCAGCCTGTGCCAGTTACCCTCACAGTAAAAATTTCTTCCTAATAGCTAATCTCAATCTACCCTCCTGCAGTTTGAAACTGTTACCCCTCATCCTGTCACCACACTCCCTGATCAGAAGCCCCTCCTCACCTTTCCTGTAACCCCCTTTAAGTACTGGAAGGCTTCTAGAAGGTCTCCCCAGAGCCTTCTCTTCTCCACGCTGAACAACCCCAACTCTCTCAGCCTGTCCTCATGGGGGAGGTGTTCTTGGACACTTTGCACTCGAGGCAAAGTACATTTTGCTGGATGCTTTCAGCATGGACACAGCTGGTTATTAACTGCAGAAATGCCTTAGGAGGGCCCCTCCTCTCACAGTTTTCATTCCCCACTCTGGGTCCCAATGATGCCTATGTGTGGCCACGAAGGGAGTCCCACTCACCCCTGCTCCAGCCTCTGCAGTGTTGTGTCCTAGAGAGGTACTTACTCTTGAAGTTCTTTGTAGCAAGGTCATTCAGCTCACTGTCAGAGTAACAGAGCAAAGATTCCTGGATTGGGACCTGCAGGGCCAGAATACAAGGGTAAGTAAGTGGGGGGGTAGATCGCACAGAGCTGTGCTGGCAGGCTTCATGAAAGACACAAGCTCCCTGTATCTTGCAGGCACCACTGAAGAGTAGGGGGCACCTACACTTCTGCAGAGGCTGCAGCCAATGATCTGCCCTCTGCGCTTTTGCCATGGGGGGGACAAAGCTAGAGGCAATGCTGGACCTGGGATTCTGGCTATAGCCATGGGGGGAGACTGGGCTCACCTTGGTGTGCTGGACCAGGTTAGCTGCACTCTTCTTTTCAGCAGACATCCCCTTCAGTCCCTGCCTAGACAGAGGAGAAGGAACATGGAATCCAAAAAATATCCCCAGAAATGGCTTGGTTGTGGGTCAGGCTACACAGGTCCTGTGTATGCCTGTTCAGGAAGGACCGCAGCCTACTCACATGGACTGAGCCTCTCGGAAGTAGGCTGTGGCGAAGTCTATCATGGTATAATGATCACCAGCAGGGACTAACATGATGCTGTTGGATTCTGATGTCAGGCTGGGAGCAGAACTCTGCAGGGACAGGCACCAAAGCCACCCTAAAAAATCAGCTGCGGAACTGCAGTGTGCATTCTCCTCACTGGCCAGACCTGGGAAGGCCTCATCTGTGTGTGGTGCCTCCCCCTCCCACTATGATAGTATTTAAGTGTCTCCATCTGCAAGGATTAAGCAGTTGTCTTCTTTCCTTCTAGCCTTGGAGGTCAGATGGTACCAGGGCCATGGACCCCCCCGGCAGCTCCCACAGAACCCAGCCATGTCCCCTAGAAATTCCCCAAGGACAACTCACCTCCCTGCTGGTGTTCCTGCTCTCTGGAGAAGCTTTCAGACTCTTCCGCAGCCCTCCACGTCTGTCCATGCTGGTACTGAGGTAATCAGGGGCTGCAGCCAATTGCACCAGGCTGGTGGGGAAAATACCACAGCGGCCACCAGTGGAGCCAAACTGCCAGCCTGCAGAAACAGGGGAGAATGACTCAGGAACCATGGCAGCCTCCAAGAGAAACGAGCCGTGAAGCATTCTACTGGCAGAGGAGAGCATCAGACTGAACAGGCTTTCCTGCATCCTAAGATAACATCCCCTGTAACTATGGCAGCTGGAACAAGGTGGGTTGTGGTCAGGGAATGGCAGAGCTGAATGCTGTGGACAGGGAATGCCAGCCCTTAACAGTCTGCTTTCCTCTGATTTACTCGACAGCAGCGTGTAGAGTTTCTGGGCACCATGGGTCCAGCAGGCCCTTGAATCCAGTCCCCCCCTTTCCTGCCAATCTCCACAAACTCCCTCACCTGGCTCCACGCCTTCCATGGGCAGTAGCTCAATGAGGTCGCCCTTCTTGAAGCTAAGAAGGCTCTTGTCATCCACAATGTAGCTGCGCAGAGCAACGACGTAGTTGGTATCCTGGGGAAAAAAGTGATGGGGAGGTCAAATGTCATCCCCAGGAAGGACTCGGACCATGTCATCTCGTGGACCCTCTCAGGTCCCTGAGGGAAAACACCTTCATTCGCTACCGCACTACAGCCACTCCCTCACCTGCCTCAGCTCCTGGATGAAGAGTTCCACCATGGCCTTGATGCACAGAGCCTTTGGAGAGTGCAGGAAGAGCTGCTCTGTCTTCAAAGAGAACTCCAGGGCATTGCTGCCCTTCAGTTCCACTGACAGCACATCTGCAAAGCTGAGAACACAGCATGCTCAGGCTCCTTCTGCCAGAGCTAGGGATGCAGATCATGGGGATGGGAGCTCGTTCCAAGGACGGAAAATAGAGACAGGCCTCAGCATGCTCGAGGATAGCCTTTCACCAGCACTGTGTTACAACAGTAATAGCACCATAGGCTGCTCGTGGCTTTCACTGTACCACTCTGAGGACCTTCCTTGTGATGACATGCACGGAGCTGATTCACACCTCGCACTCACTCATTGTAAGCAAAGCACAAAGTAGGAAGGAAAGGGAAAGGCCATACTCACTAGAAGGAGGGTCAGGAGTCACAACTGGCCTAGGACAATCCTAGAGAGCACAGCACAACCAGGGAATTTTCAGCTCACCCGTTCAGTTTGCCTCCTAACACTCTGAAAGCATCCTGCAAGTGACAAATTATCATCCTGCAGCAACCAGCACCGTTTTGCTCACCTGTAGCTACGAAGAATCTTCAGGTGCTCAGGGTTATAGCCAGCTGCTTTCACCACCTTCAGCAGCCGCATGCCCCGGTGAGAAACACCCAGGATCTGGACATCACTTCCACTTTCACCCTGTAAGGGAAGTGCAGCAGAGAGCATCAAAGGCTCCATCCCACCTGGACAGGATGCAGCAGGGGAAGAAGATGCTACCACATGTACCATGAAGGAGGCCCTGGGCTGACCAGCAAGATACAGAAGGCACAGAAGAACAAGTGATGTGTGGCCAGGCAGGAAGACAGGAAGAGATCCCAGGTGAACTAGAGCCACACAGCTAAAGCAAGCCCAGGATCTGGCGAGAAGGTTAAGACTCACATGAACTGGGAAAAGGCGGGAGAAATAGTTAGCCCAGTTATCCCGAGCAGCCAGTACAATCCTCTTCTTTATCCCATCCTCCTGAATGGACTGGGCATCGTTGCCAACCCGGAACTCCACTGGCAGGGTTACAAAGCAGACACTTTCTCAATAAGACAAAGATGGCCAAGTCTCCCTCTGCCCAGGGACTCCTTCCCACCAGTCCCCCTCAGTGATTACACCACAGCAAACATGCAGGGGCAAAAGGATACCACATTACTTGCACACACCAGTCTACTACTAGTTTCTCTCCCCCTCTCCATGAAGCTCCTGTCAAAGACGACAGTTGGATTTTGAGACAACTCAAAATCCCATCCTTAGGCCTCAGTTTCCTCTCCCCACAATAAACATATCAGAACTAAGTTTTTCTGGCTCAGAGAAATTTCAGGGCCATTTTCTGGCCATTTTGGAATAAACAAACATTCCTAGACTGCACTACACAGCACACACAAATGTGATTTCTTGCTATAATGACAAACGTTTCTCCTCTGCCCTAAGTCCTGCCTGAAAGGGCTTGGAGGCCCATTTCTCATTTCAGACCAAAAGATGGGATGGGCATAGGGAGGAAGGGATGATGTTAATTACTCAGCAGGTCTTTCATCTTGCGCTTCTCCTCCCTGGAGATCCGAAAGCAGGAATCGGAGAAAGTGTCACGCATGATCTGCAGAGGAAGGAAACAGAGAGGCTTTCATTGAAAAGGCCACGTCTGATTGTGTTGGAGCATCTGAGGCTGTTAAACAGACTGAGTTTCAGAGAGCAATGAACAGGGGCTTGACTGGATGGACCTGGACAAGTGGCTAACACTGCTAGGGATGCAGAAGTGAAGGCAACTTATACAACATAATTATGGAGCGGTTTGTGCCCAGGGAGACAATAGGCCTCAAGTCATACACCGGTACATACCTGCTCACACAGCAAGTTCAGACAATAAGGGTGACTGAAATTTTCTTTGGGGTAAAACACCTGCAAGAGGAGGATAAATACAATATTGATGTTACAGACCTTGTGGAAATAGTAACAACAAATTGACTTCATTTGTAGATTTCTCAGTGCTTTACAGAGGAAGGAAAGGACAGGCAGGGAAACTGAGACACAAGATTCAGTAGGGCAGAGTAGGACCCATATCCCCTATGAGATGCTCTCCTGCCTCCAACTCCTGTGTCATGTGACCGCCTCCCAGAACTATCTTTGTGCTTTTACATCACACTGGGTACATATGACAAAAAATGATTTTAACCAAATGGGGGACCAGTTCCCTCCCCCCATAGCCAGCCCTCAGCTAATGAACTGTACCTCTTTGCGCAGAAAGATTTTCCAGGCAGGGTTGACATAAGAAAAGCTGACACTGGTAGTGAGCTTGTACAGCTGGGTCTTAATGCCATCATCTTCTGCTACTGTTACAGCAGGGTCTGTGTGGGAAGAAAGAGCAGTGAAGATGGGCTTAATTGACTACAGGTTCACCTTCCCACCTGCCAAAGACCTACCAAGAGAAAGGGGACAGTGCCATATGCCTGACTGAAGATTACTGTCAGGAACCCTCTTGAAGGTCAGTGATCAGCTAATGTGAATGCATGCACAAAAGTCATCATGTGAGTACCAGCTTTCCTGATAGCTTTATACTTGCTGCATTAGCCACAACGTTCAGCGCTTACAATAGAAGCATTCCAGAGATAAGCAGCACACAGTGTCCCAGGCAAAATACTGCCCCTGTGCTTAAGGTTGGAGACACAAGGTTCACTTTAAGGCTGCTAAAGGTTTCAAAAGGACATAAAAGTTCTCCCCTGAGCTTGCAGACTGCAAGGTTCTAGTACAAGGCACCCAGTACTTGCATTGGATTTTCTCTCTGCAGGAGATGTATTAAAGACAGGCTGAGTTTGAAGGCAACCATTCAAAGACATTGCTTTATGAGGCAGGAATGTCTTCATTTAAGCACTCCCAACTTCCAAAACTGAGACAAGAAATATAGTACATCCCACTCAGCTGTTTCTATATCCCTGTTCAAAAGCATGTAGGGATTTTTCAGGCTAATCCAGTTACTTTGATTTACTTTCACAGGACTTCTTAAAGAAACAGTTTTTAAAAGAGGAGAGTGAAACAGGGGAATTCTTCTACAATGGGGAAACTGCTGCAGTCCTTCAGCAATGTGTTTGGCTGACTGTTCCTTGTGTGTCATAAAATGTAATACTGATGAGAGTTTTAAACAGCTCGAAATACATTGGTACATGTATCCAAAATAGCAGCAAAGTATAAAATAAATTATAGCTCCAGGGTCCCGCTGAAATTAGGCAAAACCTAAGACTGAATAACACTTCCAACTACTGCTGAGAAGCATTAGCTATGCCATTTTTTAGGTGGGCAGCATCCAAGACACTCCTTATGTGGCCAATGTCCAAGGTCTCCCAGGCTCTCATTCTCCCTCTGAGAAACATTCCCTCCTTCCTCAGCCTGTCTCTAAGGACCCTCCAGAGGCTCTAGATGGTAAAACACTTGGCTTCCCATTCCTCCCTGGTCTAAAGTCCATCTGTTGAATTACAGCTTTGTGGAAGTAATGACGCTTCAGGTAGGCAATAAAACATATTGGTGATTGGACCTTGATAAAGCTGTAGCCCAAAGGTCCTTTTTAGCAGCAGTCTTCAGAGAAACCCAGCCCCTCCTTCATCATTTGTGCCTGACATCCTGCACTGCACTGGGAAGAAAGGGAAGAGTTAGAGCTGTGAAGTGCCATGTGGATTACTGGGCCAGACTGGAACTATGACAGTCTCTGATTTCACACAGCCCACTCAGGCTTTGGCCAGCTGGCTGATGACAGAACATGTGCTGTGACTCTCCTGGGCCACTGGGCTGATTCTAACCCCATCCCCTCCCCACGCCCTGCTACCAAATCCCACTTGGGTGACATCACTACTCACCCTTCCCTGTGGATTCCTGCCAGCCTTGGTTCTCAGGCAGAAAAGGTGAAGGCAATAGTAGGGGAGAAGGGGGAGCAGTAGGTGGGGTACTCTCCTGGCTGAAGATGGACAGGAGAGGCAACTGCTTCTCCTTGATAGAGCTGCAAGCTGAGCCTGGCTTGGGCTTGGGAGGTGGAGGTGTTTTCTTTTGTGGCAGGGGCGACGGCTGCAAGACAGTAAAACCATTTGACCCAGTCATTGTCTGCATTACTGTGGTCTGTCCTGACACTGCTGTTACAGATCATCACTAGGGCAGCAGTCCAACCCTGGAAGCAAGATCTATCTGAACAGGGATACCAGGACCTTTAAATCAACACACGATCTACAAACAGATGAAGATCAACCAAACCCAGGTGCAGAGAACCGAGTATTTGAGACTGGAACTTCCAGTTGGGAAGGGGGAAAAAAAGACATTAATGGGCCAAGACCTTGGTGCCAAATGTGGGGATCATGAGTTGCTTGCTTCCAGACCACCCTTAAACATACCACAATAGGACTTTCTGCTCCAGAGCCTTTTCTTCAGGACTTCAAGTGGATTTACAGACTGGAACCCAGTCTAGGATGGGCAGCACCAATGGTATGAGCTCACAGCTATCTAGTAACCCAACAAGAAGTCACTTGGCTGCTACTGCACTACCAGGTAGCTCCCAACCTATTGGAGATCGGATATATAGGGCCTCTCTGCTGAGCTCTTAAGGTGACTGGAGAGCAAAGAACTCACTGAGTCAGGAGGTGGGAGGTTCATCATTCCCAGCTTGGCCAGAGCCTCATTTTTGGGGTCGTTCTTCTTCACAAATGGCTTGGACACTCTCCTGCAAGGAAATGGGGAACACAGTTACAGGGGCTGCAGGTGGGTTGTGGCCACAATGGAGCCAAGTGGCAGTGCTGGGATATAGTCCCACTCATGTCCTTCCTGCCCACCTGGGTGGACCCCACTCTCACCTGACAGGCTCAATAGGCTGGGGCTCGGGGGCTGGCCTGCTCTGGTACATTTTGATGATGTTGCCGATCTCCCGGCTGGGTGCAGGCCGCGACTCAGGGCCTGAAGGCTTCACTACAAGTGGCTTCTTCTTCACTTGTGGTGTCTGCTTTTTTGGCTTTGGCTCAGGAGGTGGCAAAAGGGGAGCAGGAGCTATTGGGGATGAGAGTTTAACCAACAGACCAGCAAAGACTCAGGAGAAGTCCCTTTATCTCATTTGAATCTTCCTCTCTTTCACCTCTAGGCTGACTGGCCATGGCTTTCCACTGCCTTGCTTTGGGATCCCATTTCCCAAAGCTCAGGCCTTTTTTCTCTCCTCTGCTGTAAAGATGCAGACTGCCAGAAGAGCCAGATCTTTTCCTCCTCTGACTATATCCTGGGTCTCCACACTGCATAGCATCTTACCTGCCTCTTTTTTAGGGCTAGGCTTCTCTTCTTCCCTCTTCTCTAGCTCTTCTTCCTTCTCCAGCTCCTCTTCCTCCTCCTCCTGCTTTGACTGTGGATTTGCTGGAGGGGTCCAGATTTTGGAAGGAGGCCTGACTTTCTTCACTCGGATGTGTTGCTCTCCTGCATAGAAAGGGGGACCTAAGCTAGTTAAACCCACAGCCAAAACCAAATCTAGCGCTAATGGCATAGTTCCCACCCTTGCATCAGTCAGCAGAAGCCTATGCTTTCTAGAGGCAAAGGAGGGTGCAGCAGTCACAAGCCCAAAGATTTCTAGCAAGCTGGCAACACAACAGCTCACAATCTGAATCGTAGCCAGCTGTGCAGGCACCCAAAACTCCTGCTACACACAGTATCAGCAGCTTCTGCAGGGATTAAGGAGGTGGAATATCTCCCTTATGACGAAAGGCTGAAGGAGCTGGGTCTCTTTAGCTTGGAGAAGAGGAGACTGAGAGGTGACCTCATTAATGTTTATAAATACGTAAAGGGCGAGTGTCAGGAGGTTTGAGCTGGGCTCTTCTCGGTGATGGCCAATGACAGGACAAGGGGCAATGGGTGCAAGCTGGAGCACAGGAGGTTCCACATTAACATAAGGAAAAACTTTTTCACTGTGAGGGTGACAGAGCCCTGGAACAGGCTGCCCAGTGAGGTGGTGGAGTCTCCTTCTCTGGAGACATTCAAAACCTGCCTGGACGCATTCCTGTGTGAGCTACTCGAGGTGGTCCTGCTCTGGCAGGGGGGTTGGACTAGATGATCTTTTGAGGTCCCTTCCAACCCCTAACATTCTGTGATTCTGTGATTAGCTGGGTTCCAGACAGGGAGAGAGGAACACAATACTTTATTCTGCAGCCTCCCTGGCATAACAAGGTGTTACAGTAAGTGAAATTCCTGAAGTGGTAGACACTCACCCATCTTCTGAAAATACTGTCTCTTCTGCTGGAAAGTTTCCCGAGGATAGTCGTCATCTTCACTGCTGGAGAACTTGTCTTCCGTGCAGTCATACACCTGCAAGCAGTTCACAACATGGGTAGTTAGCACTACCCAGCAGATACTTCCATACTGCCCTTAAGTTCAGAGGTGACTTTCCTCGCCAAGTTCTGATCTAGAACTTCTCTCCATCTGAGAGTGTCCCAAGAGATCAGTCTCTGACCCAAGGAATCATCAACCAAGTCCAGAGAAGGAGGACTATGTTAGTGGCCCAAGACAGCTTGCTGGAAGATAAAGAACTCTGAGTGATGAATTCTCCTACGGAAAAATTCAGATCAGCTGTGAATTAATGTGCCAACACTGCAGCCAAACCTCCACAGAGCTAATGCCACCAAAGTTTGATCCTGTATCTTAAAGGCTCAGCAAGCTCAGTTTGGAAGGCCTCGGTATCACGGGTAAGCATAGCTCTGTGCCAAACCACTGCCACAGTGGAAGGGAAGCAGAGCAAAATCAAATCATGAAATTCAAACCAAATTCACCACCACTGTATGTTTCTCATACCGGTTCTTCTGCCTTAGCTGGTGGTTCTGGAGCCTTTGGTGGCGGTACAGAATTCTGGCTGCTGGGAGGTTTCTTGGGTTTTAGGGAAGTGGCTGGGACTGGGTCTGAGGCTGGAGCCAGGGTTTGGGCTTGTGGCAGATTTGAGACTCTTGGCCTTGAGTTCTCAAGGGACTGTTGCTGCCACTGCTGTTGCTGCTGCTGTTGCTGCTGCTGGGAAATGCTCATGGCTTGAAGGGTCATCTGCTGGGCCTGGAGGAAGGAATTGCAATGTCCATGAGCTCTAGGCTACACAAACCCACCAGCCATCAGTCAGGCTGTCCCATTCTTTCACTGATAATCAGAGAATATCTACATAGTCCACTGCAAATCTCCCACAGTTATGGACAAGGTATGCCCAGGGAGTCTGCTCCCACCTAGCCAAGCATGCAGAGCTCCGAACAACACCCCGAAGACTCAGCTGTCAGTAAGATAGCCTGGGGCCTCCATGCACTCACAAAGCCTTGTACAGAAAGCAGAACACTGCAGATCTGCATCTGTAGCAAATCCCAGCTTAAAAACACACAGGAATTACAGCTGGGGCTTCTCAGGGCCTGCTCTTGTCCTTGCTACTCACTCACCTATGGTGTCTCAGTGTCCCCATGGGTGTCCCCAGTTTTGCAGGCTTAAATAATCCCAACTTTATACAGCTAACCCCAGCACATAAGCACAGAGTGTTACAGAGCTGGCCTAAGGCAGGAGGGGAGCATGGCTAACCTCTTCACAGCACATACACCAGTGCATTGTTCTTCCCCAGTTCCTGGGCCCCTCCCAGCCAGTCCCTTCCACTTACCATGAGCATGGCTTGCTGGTTGATAAAGGCTTGTTGTTGTGCTGCTAACTGATTGGGATCTACAGCTGGAACCACAGACTGGGGCATAACCATGGCTGTGGAAGACACACACATTTGCAAAAGCCCACAGGCAACATTTCCCCACAGTGCTTGAGCAGCAGCCCAGAGCTGATGTTCACTGTGCACCCCGCCTGACGTTCAAATGCACAGGCTCCATTACACCCACCCTTCCATCCTCTTCCCCTGTGTAGCTACTGAACCGGTGTTATTACCTGGCATAGGTGCAATCCCACCAGCCGCTGGCATCATAGGCATGGCTGCTGGCATCCCCATCATTGAAGGCATGGGCTGGTAAATTGGTGCTTGAGTCATTCCAGAGAAGCCTAGAGGCAAAAGACCACACGCATAGTGCTTTTGGGGGATGGCAGCCGAGAAAGCCCTGATCAGTCCTGCAGAGCACATCACACAGGCTGGGTACCTCTGGTTCTCTCCACATGCACCAACAACGGGGACATGTGAGTGGTTTATCTCTTCACACACAGCAGGACACAGCAAACTCAGGTGGAAAAAGGAAAGCAAAGAGAAACGTGTGGCTTGCCAAACTTTACAATAGCAGTATCCAGACCCTGCTTCTGCAGTCTAGCTTAGGACACCACCACCCCTCATGACCAAGCATATAAATAACTCCAGCCTGTGTATGATTACAGAGAAGGGTTTCTTTTGAGGGATGGGCAAAGATCTCTGGAACTGCCACATCCATATTGGTCTCTTTACAGAAGGTAGCAAGGGTGAAAGAATAATGAGCCCTGGCCTGGGTGGCATTGTGTATCATGTGAAGGAACTGAGGGGAGAAAGGAATTCCTCTGCCCACAGCAGTCAAGTCCCACATGAGGCCACAAAACAGAAATTCCACTGAGGGCAAAGCCAGCAGAGTAAGGGGCATGGAGATCAGTCTCAGCTAGGAGTGAGTCAGCACACAGCACAGGTCTAGTGAATCATGATGTTCTTGCCAGTGAGAATGGCCCAGGGATGCCACGGAGATATCTTCACATTCCTGACTGATCTAAGTAGCCAATGAGCAACAAACTGGCGTCAGGCCAGCGATCTGTAATAGGGCTTGTCATGTCCCAGAGTCTCTACAATAGCCAAAAATAGTCCCAGTCTCAGTAATGATCTGAATAGGACATTCCCCACCTTTCTGAAACAGCAGATTTCTCAGTGCTATTAACATATTGATGTTTGACTCCACCCTACTGAAAATACCTGAGTCTTAGCTCCACAGAAAGGAGGAAAAGTAAAGAAACCAAGCACACAAACCAGAACCTCTGTGGGGTTCAGACTTACTAACCCAAGGAATAGCTAGAGATGATGGAAAAGTCTGTAAGGAAGCAATAAGAAAGATTAAAACCCTCCCCTGAGAAAGGCAGCAACTATTTTGTGAAAGCACAAGGTGAATAGATGGTAAATACAGGACTTAATGAGTATTGTCCTAGGGAAGAGGTGGCCTGGGTTGGAAGCAAGTTACCTGTTGCCTTGACTCCAAGACCAACTCGAGAGAGAAATTAAAACAGTACAAAGGTGGTAGCCTTACCCAGCACCTTTCCCAAAGCATCTGTCTCCCAGCTCCTGGGAGTGAGGAGAGCAACTTCTGATGATCTATATTAAAGACCAATGCTCTTCATGAATCAGCTGAGCCCACGCAATAATTAGCATTTAAGGGACTCTCTGACTTGTGCTCACTGAAGCTTGTGTAGCCCCACAGGGGTTCCCAGCTGTCCCCACCCGCTTACAGACCTGAAGAAGGAAAGATTCCTCTCTGTGTGGGTCCAATCTTCCCACCTCCTTTCATGCGTCCAGTCAGAATCTCCCTGTTCTCCATATCCTGCATCAAGAAAAAACAGTTACCTGAGCTCAGATAGACTTCACAGAGGGAGAGTCATCCAAAGGCATAACTGAGCTCAGCAGAGCGTGAATAGGCAGAGGCATGTCTGAGGGTGTCACAGGGACAGGAGAGCTGCAGAAAGAAAGAAAGAGGGAACATCAAGGGACTTACTGGTACTCTGGAGCCTTGATGCAGCACAGTGCTGAAGAGATCATCCACATAGTGATCCAAGCCTACAGGGGTCCTCAGGTCATCTCTGAATCTTGGATCTAAAAGCAGAGAGAAGTCTGGTGACAAGGCAAGTGAGGAACATTCCCCTGCCTCCAGTCCCTATCAGACAGTCATGTTTTGGAGTGAAGCCCTTCCTTGCTCTACATCAAGAAGAATCACCTGTCTCCCGCTCTGCTCTGTTTCCCTGGCTGGGGCCCAGCTGGGCCTTCCCAGTGCCTTCCACAGTCCTGGGCAAGAGCTTACCTGGATGGAGATTGTTGAATTCTGGAGGCAGGCTAGGTGGTGGGAAGGTAGGTGCCCGGATGCTTGGAGCAGGAGGTATCCTGTTGAAGAGGAAAATGAGATGAGAACAGTATAGAGTGCTGAGAGAAAGACGAGCCACTGGGTCATAGGGCCACAAATGGTGGTGCAGGAGGATTAAGTGACTTACGAATCCAGGTCAGAGTTCTGGAGGAAGCTTCTGTCCCTTTGAGGAGTGATGGGGTACTCAATTGAGGACTGAGAGAGGCGGCTGAGGTTGCTGACCTCCTCCATCTCTCCAATGAGGTCCAGCACAAAGTCACAGCCCAGCAGGTCCTGCCATGTGTTGCCAGTAAACATGGAGATAGACCACCCTCGAGGCTTCTTATCACAGCCCCTGGTAACAGGGAGAGGAAGGAGAGAAAAGGTGTCCAGGTAGACAGGGGAAAGGGAGAGGAAAGAAAACATTGCATTCAGTTTCTTCTTGCCGTGGCTATCCTGGCTTAAGTCCTTAAGATATAGGGTGTGAACCACATAAGTGCCCAGGGTCAGGAAATAACTAGAATCACTCAATATTTGTCCTTATTTTTGTTTTGTTTTGTTTTCATCTTTCCTCTGAAGCTGCTCTGACAGATCATGCCAGTGATTCCTGTGATTCCTCTGTTCCTAAAGAGGCCCGCAGTTTATGTACATAGATGGAAGGGTGAAGGAGAGAGCACAAGCCAGAGTGGGTAAGGAGTGGCTATTCCACATCTGCCCGTATAAATTCTAGCCTGCAGCCCCAACCAGTCTGAACCTTAGAACTAGTGACAGCCTTTTTCACACCCCCAGGTCTTCTCCCATCCTCTGGCAGTACCTTGCATTCAGGAGCCAGCCTGCATACTGCTCCCCAGTCATCCAGGACTCCACCTCAGCTGAGAACTTCTCCTCTAGCACAGAAAAGAAAGTCAGTACACACAGCCTCCCCGGCAGGACTCAAAGTGACACCTAAGCTCCTCAGGACAAAGGCAGAGCCCAGCTGGAAAGTCTTACACACTCCTCAGTGGGGTCCACAGGAGGACTGAAAGCACACGGAGGGCTCCACATGAACACATTCACATCCCATATAACTGTTTGATGGCACAAGTTGGCATTTCCAACCTGACAGCTGAAAATCTTCCCAATGTCCTGGTTTGCTTGGGCCACCACTCCACTCGCCAAGAAGCCAGAGCAGGGATGTTCTGCATTCAATTCACAGAGCTTCTGACGACTCAAGAGGCAGCATAAGCCAATATTTGAGAAGGGAGAAAGGCAGAAAGTCCCTGTAACATAGGCAGCAGTTGCTGCTGCATGGGCTATGCAGTAAAGGATAACGCGAAAACTAGACCCATAGACATGCGAATCTCATCCCTCAGCCTGAGTAGGAGGTCTCATCAGGCCCAAACTTTATGATTTTTGCGTCTAGCTTCAAATGCTTGTATTCCTCGTGGTTGTACCAGTCAGAAGCAATCAATGTTCTGATCCCTCTTTACTAAGTGGAGGGAAATGCTGATTTCTGCACTGGAAAAGTCCTTAGGGACTAGAAGACAGTGGAAGGGCAGAAGCATGAGTTACCATTAAAGGTATGAACATCCAGCACCATCTTCCCTCTCCTCTGGTTTGCGGTCCACTCCAGCTGAGTGGGAGGGTAGGCTCGAGACAATGTAGAGTCTATCTCTGTGTACTGTGCTGCTGTCAAGATCTTGCGCTGGCAAACAGCGTTGTAGCCCTCCATGCCATGATCTGACACAAATCTAGGAAAAGGCAACTGCATTTAGCACACTGCTCGTCTCTCTTGACCTTAATGAAAGTGTAGCTAGAGCTTTTCTCCCCCTTACTTCAGCAATGGCTTCTCCAGTGCTGGTGAAGGGGCAAAGCAGCTCAGCAAAGTTGCCATCAGGACCCAAGCTCTCCGGCTGTACTCCATGTCTGGGTTTTTCCATGTCTGGGCAACCACCTGACTGAAGATTTCATTGCGCAGAGCCACGTTATTCAAACCTCTCCAAGCAATATAGTTGCCCAGAAGTGCCTCCTGCCAGCCATGGAGATCCTTGTCACCAATGAACCGCAAAATCTAGAAGCGTCCAGGGGGAAAAAAAAAAAAAAAAAAAAAGAGAGAGCTCTAGCTGTAACCCTTGGTCTCAAACTGTGTTGTAAAGTGACAACCTGTGTTGTAGACAGCAGGGTGTTTGTGAGCCTAAGAAGAGGAGCCAACACTCAGATCAGGATCTATTCTCAGGTTTTATGCACCACCTAAGTTCTAGGGAATCTGGGAGGCAGTGTTCATAGAGATTGGACCCTGACTAAAAGTCAGGATGACTTCAGTCTCTTCTTACTTATGCCTCTGCCTCAGAATTTGTTCTTGGGCAAACTACTTCCTCTTCTTTGGGCAGAGATTTTTTACTAAATAGGCTATTTGTTACTGTGTCTGAGCCCACAGGCTGCCTAGCTGTAAAAACATGTAAAAGAAATTGATGCTTAGCTGATCTTTGCGAAAAGCTCATAGAGCCAGACATGAGGAAACACTGTCTAACAACTGAATGTTAAAAAGACTTTGGTGTAGTTAATATTACACCAAGTAGTATGAGAGGTGGTATCTCAACCAACTCACTTAAGCAATGATTCAGCTTCTTGGCTATGCATATCAACGTCTCAGATGCTTTTATAAATTTGTATTTCTCACCCTTAGGTACAGAATAATTTCTTTCAGCCTTTACACTTCAATATGTCATTAGACTGAATTTTTTTGTAAAATGTGCCATGGACAGCTTTGGAAAGAACATTTATGAGTGATGGCCTATTTTTTTCTCATAGAACAACACTTCTTAAAATGGTTAATGGTAGTAAGCGTGTCAGAGATTCACTGAGAAAAACAGGAGACAGTAGTTGTTTAGTTCTCATGGAATTCTTTGTAGTAAATCCCTACGTATTACTGCCTTCGCCAAATAAATAGCTTTTTATTATTATTATTAGCAACAGAAAAAAATTATCTTTGATCTTCAGAAAAAATAATAGTAGTCTGCTTAAACACAATCCTATTCACAATGTTTTATTGAAGCTTATGCTCTTCTATAATTGGTATCATTAGGACAAAACAAGAGACTGGTTTTTAGGTATCACCTTTCCTAAAGGGCTTATTTTAAATACATGTAATTCTCAAAAGGATTACCAGATTTACTCAGAAATTATCTGAAGTTTCATTCTATTTTCAGAGAGTCACCATTACTGTTTTTAAGAAGAAATGTATGTTTCACATCTACAGAGATGAAATAACACCATCCCCCTCACATAAACACTACAGAATTAGGGTGTGGTTCCAGGTGTATTCTTGATGACAAAGTCCCTACCTTTTTCCAGCTTTTATACAACTGTTCACTGTCCCCTGTTGTTTACCGGCACAACTGTATGGCTGAGATACAATCAATATATTTACTATAAACCACATTAAGGAAAAGATCTGGGTTAAATTACCCTTTTTTATGACTGACAGATAAGAATAAGTGCTTGAGAAGACGGATATCTCTTATACTGCCATTGCTACTGAACCTGGAATACTGAGAAAGCAAGGTTTAGCAGTCTAATCCCTGTATGTCCTGCCAAATTCTGAGGCTACATTACCAGGCAATTCACTTTGATCCCATTGGTCTATGGCTGGTCTATACTTCACCAAGAACACAGCAACCCTAAGGGGCTGCAATTGACCTCTGCCAGACTGCTCCAGTACCTAGAAGGAGCAATTTATTCTGCTCTCCTGTGCTGTAAGAACAGTAGCCATCACCAACATCCTGTATAACAGCATCAAAACATTGTCTCATGTCCACCTGTTCTTCAACAAGGCCCTGGTCAAGAAAGACATCTCTTACCAGCTTGTTGATCTCAAGTGCGCTTTCCTCGTATTCAGCATCCAGATAGGTTAAGGGGTGCTCCAGAGGCTGACCAGGGGCAGGGAAACCTGTCTTCTACAAAGAAATAAAAGGACAGAAATGTAGAGTTTGTTCCTGGTGTTACTAGAACTAGTGTGTCTCCCCAGTGGGGAAGCAATGAAGAGATATAAAATGAGTTCCCACCTGGAAGTGTGACTTAATGAAGGAGGAGAAAGGATAGCTGTTGATGGTGGGTGGGAGGGAAACGTCATCTTTGACCTTGACTTCTGGAGGCAATGCCTCAGTTATCTGGTTGGCCTGTGCTCGGTACTGACCTGCAAGAGAAAGAGGTCCTGTGTGGCAGCAGTTGGAAAGGCAGGCAGAACACATCTGACTCACAGTGCGACACATGGCTGACATGCATCTAACCTTGCCTGAGCACCTGTACCACCCCCCGGCTCCAGGGACACCCAGGCCACCCCCGCTGCCCTAAACCACCAAGCAGGCACATCCTCATTTCCTTGAAACCACAAGGCCTAACTTCAGGAGAGAGCTTTACAGCTCTGATCTTTCAGACTCTTATCCCTGGGTAACACCCAGAGGGCAGTCAGCACCTGGAGTTTCAATTGCTCATGCGGAGTTTACAAGGCAGGGAACACTGAGCCTGCGCAGAGGTACTGCTGACAACTGTTCAGTCAGCAAGTAAATGAGAGGTCTTCATGATGAGGCGCTGGATGAGGGATTTATCACGGATAACGTAGGAGTAAGCATCTTCCCAAATGAAGAGATTTCTCAATGCAGCACAGCTTCTGTGCATTCCTCTGCCTCCAGACCAATGTGTCCCCTGATGCTCTCCCCCTCCTCTTCCCTGTTTACATCCATCAGCTTTCATTTTCAGCAGTTTCAGTGCAGTTTGTCCCATGAGCTCCTCTAGGTAACTTTGCTCACTAGACCAGCTGATAGTCCCTAGAGGGCTATGCCATGAAGTATGAGGGATTTGGGAATCCAGCACAGTCTACTCCAATTCACAAGACTCTTCTGCCTGATCGTAACTTTTGCTGTACTACACAGAAGGCCAAAGATACAGCTGTCGTTGTTAGGTGCTGTACTGAATCCTGCCTCAACCTTTTTCAACTTCAGCATATACATTGTACAAAGAGTTATAGAGGAAACAAAACTGCAAATAACTGAATGCTCAAGATCAGGTCAACAACTTGATAAATTATTTCAGTTAGTGGTATTTTGGTGATTTGAAAACAAAACAAAAACCTTTCCATCCCAAACAAAACATTTCCCTAAATTGTTACATTGTTCCATCCTTATGTTGTTACATGGATTCTACTTCTAGTTTAAAAGAACTAATACTTTTGAACAAGCATTTTTTAAGGAAAACCCCAAATATTTCTTTGAAAGTGCCAAAATTGTACTTTTGGCTTCTTCATCTTCAATTTCCTTAAAGATTTTTGAGTAGAAAAAAGCTGCGTTTAAGTTCTCGCACCTCAGATATCCAGCTCTGCAAGAGACCTGGGTTCATTAAACAGTTTACTGTCACATAGCTTTGATCAAAAGGTTTTGCACCATCACTCTTATCATTTCTATCAGCACAGTTCAAAAGAAGAGCTGAAAAGGAAGCAAAGATACTGAATTTTAATCTGGTGTTTAGCCCACTGGCCCAAGTTGCTTTTCCGCCCTGTCGAGTTGGGAAACAATATACATGACACCATTCGTCTTCATCATATTCACACTGCAATAATAATAAATCAAATACAACCCAGGTGACAGCAGGTAAAACAAGCAAGTCCTTAAACTGCTAGCAAATAAGGAACTAAACAGTAAAGTAAAACAGTTCAGGAAAGGGAGGGAAGGAGGGAGGATTTCTCACCTTCAGCTAACTGCAGGAGGGCAGCAAGCTCTGCAGGGATCTCCAGCAGTCCCACATCCTGGGGAGACAGAGAGCAAGTCAGTCAGTTTTTCACCTGAAGTGAAACAACATATAAACCCTGAGCTGTGCTGTTGAGACTGGGTAAAGCTGCCTTTCAAAAGCTGGCAAGGACTGAGCATCCGAGCAAACCCAATAATTTCTGCCTGTGCAACATTCAGAACATTACAAATAGGGAAGTATCATATTGACACAGGTACACAGCCTGGGCCAGCAAATGAGGGAAAGGTGAGTAATTCCTAAAATATCAACTGCCACAGGGGGAAGTGACAGGAAAATTGACTTTGACTCATCTCTTATTACTAACAAATTTGGCATACTGCACAGAAGAGGTTGCAGTTCAAGGGTAAGGGCCATTTCCTCCTACTCCTTTTCTGCCTTGTTTTTTGTTTTTTTTTTCCCCAAGAGTGCTACAGCATAAATAGAGAGACCCAATTCTGATCTTTGATGCATGCCACTATTTTGGAGCTTCCTAAGGAAGCTCAGCTCTGTACCCAGGTAATTCAGATGAAAATCTGGCCAATGAGCCTTGACTTTTCAGTTTTGCACCTTGCATGATGCATGCATTTGCACAAGGTAGGAAGTAAACGGGCCAATACAATGCGGTGTATCAGCATCAGTGTCTGCATGTAACATCAGCTGAAGGTATTTCAGACAGGACTACTCAGGTTAAGACACTATGAAACCGAGCCAAAGGCACAAAGCCTGAGCTTTTGGGGTTTGGTTTTGGGTTAAGATCTGCATAGTAAAGCCTCTACTCACCAGCGCACTGTTCTGACATCTCCCTCCACATAAACTCTCAGCAATGATTAAAGATAGATTCACAGCTTTCTTGTCCTGCTCATAAGAAGATGCTTGACTTTAAGTCTAGCTTTTCAATAGCGTATTCAGGAAGTGGACTGTGAAATTCCACAGTCCTGGATCCACACCTGAGGAAGCAGGGGATATTGCAAGAGCACCCAGTGCTAAGTATTCCCGTTGTTGTTACTGACAATTCTGTTCCAAATTGTGGATGATATCAATTCTGATTTCCTTGCTACACACATCATAGCAAATGTATACCCAGTCTAAACATACAAGTAATGACATTAGTTAGCAGTGGTACTTACAGTAGTTGATACGGGTTAAGCTTATTAGGAAGCCTTTAATACCTGCCTTCCTCTACAACATCTTCCATAAATACATTTGTGCAGAACTGTCTTGTTCCCACCCTTCACAACAGAACATGATTATCAAAAATAGCCTTCCTCCCAGCTCCAAAGAACAGGTCCAGTGCTGTGAACAAATACCATACTCTGCCTCAGGACCACTTTATGATGCCCAACTATGCCCAGAGACTGGAAAACACTGAACTAATGAGATATTTATGTATTAGAAGGCTCTTTATACCATGCTAAACTGCATTCTTGCTGCTAGGTTTCCAGCATACACGTGGGCTCTGTACACTCTCCAGACATTTTGCTATTCCCCAGCAAACTGGGCTGAAGAGGCACAGGGGAGGGAGAACACCCTGAGAGCCTGGCTCGTTTCATCACAGACTCTCCCAGGCTGTTTGACAACTTACCATCCCTTGGCTGGGACTGTTCTCTGTGCCACCACTGGCCAGGGACCTCCTTCTTCGTTTCCCTTCCTCTAACTTCTGCTGTTAAGAGACAAAAAGGGGATGGGGAGTGGGAAAAGATGTATATGAGGTCACTCCCAGCTACTTCTCAGGGCAGGCTCTGTGGATGGGCAGGAGCTGCTGTCTTGCTCCAACAGATAGAACGACAGAACAGCTGCAGAGCCTTCCTGGGACTCAACACAGCGTATCGAGAAGGGGATGCCCAGGCAAAGCCCTTAGCTTTGCCGAAACATCACCTGCCCTGCACAACACAATTCAACAGCAAGAGCCTTCACCGCCTGCCCAGCATCCCTGCCACACCTTTACTCCCTTGACCAGCATTTGATGTGTCTCAGGAGAAAAGCACAGAGAAGCTAGCAGAAACATTCACCTGCCTCCTCCAGCATCAAAGAATATGGTAACACAGCCTGAACATGGATGGATGAACTTGTCCATAGAGAGGGACCCCTTTAGAGGGGATGGGAGGGATACCAAAAGCCAAACTCCCTTGCAGCTCTGCCCTTTCCCATCCATTCTATTGTCCCCCAGCCTCACCACTCACCTGACTCCTACTCTGAGACGGAAAAGGAGGGTTGTCTCTCCTCCTCTCTCTCCTGCTTGCCAGTGTTACAGAATGGTGTGACCAGATGGGAGGTTATGAGGGCTGGGCTGAGAAAGACAGTAGGCATGCTAAAGTCCAAAGGGCAGGGCCGTGGGATGAGGGGAAAGGAGGAACTTTGCAGCAGGTGAACTTTGAGACCTTTATTGTTGCTGCTGCATGTCCAGAGACGTCAGCAAGCAAACACTGGAGGAACAGAAACAGATTCAAAAGAGCTGGGCTGTTGTGGTTACCTGGGAGAATGAAAAGCTGGACCCTGTCCAAGTAGCAAGGGGCAGGAAAAGGAACAGAAACACACACTGCTCTGGACATGGCATAGCAGAAGGAACCCCTGCAGTCTTCCAGCAACAACGCTGGCCTTAACCCTCTGCCCCATCCTTTGCTAATCATCCCAGCAGCTGTACTGGGTCTCTTGCTGTTGAGGCCAACAGCTATGGGGATGTTAGTTGGTGCTCTAAGGATGAGCGGTCTGATTTCCTGGTTTTCAATTTTCTTTTTAATAGCTTGTGCAAAATACATTCAACCCATTTGAACCATGGCTCTCTCATGCACACAATTTTCCATCTTCTCAAACCACTGCCATCCTGTTCTCACCCCAACTATAGGCCCAGCTGATTTTCAAAAGGCCAAGGACTTCATCAGCCCGAGGTAGCTGTAAGGGATCAGGGAAGGATCACTGTGAACTGAAAAAAATCTTGTATTTCAGTCACCATCTGGGAAAACATCAAAAATTGAACTGGACAACTAAAAGAACAAGACAAATTACTCCTTATAGCTTGAACAGAACAGCAGCTTTGGAGGCCACAGATTAAATAAGCTCATGTCTTGCGTGGGACAACCTAGAGAAGCTCGCATACACAGACATATGAATCAGCTGCATTTGTATGACCATTGCCAGTTCAGAACTTTGCCTAGTGAGAGAAGGCTCCAGAGACAGAAGGACACCTCACTGGATCATTTCCAAGAAAGTTTCTAAAGCCACCCCTGCCCTGGCCTCACCCAGTCATCAGCTCTCTCAAGAGCAGAAATAGCTCCTGCAGTACACCTGGTCCCAACAAGAGTGTTGTTACCTGGCACTGCTTCCTCCTTTGAATCAAAAGTCTGGAGACTAAAATCATGGTATTAAACTGCACCAAAGTCTTCTTCAGCCTCCTGTAACGCTTCCTAGAGGGATGTGAAAAGAAAAGAATCACTAATGAGAGAAACGTCAACAAAATTTAGGCAGACTGTGGACTTAATATGAGGGTATGGGCCAAACAGAACATTAATACGGTCAGCCAGTCTGGATTTGTCT